GCTCACGTCAGGTCATTTTGGAAGTTCTTTCATTTTGTTAATCAGTTTCCGCGACCTGCGCGTAAAAATGGTCAACCGGTTTTGAGTTCGCGATTCTTGAACAGGGTTTTTGTGATAACTATATCGAGCCACCTTAATTGAAATAGTTGAAGTAATACCTTGAAAGTTGTTGCCAATGTCGTAGTGGACATTTCTGCAGGTTTATAGGCATCTAGTGGGAATGACAACTGCTCGGCCTACAATGAGAAATGCATGAAAGTTTGGTTTCTTCAACGTTTTGCTTGTGAGAGAAACATTATCCTACTTACACGTCTGTTTTTCTGAACTGTTGCATCCCACTTGCCAATGTCTTTTGAAGTTTCTTCATAAGCAACAACTCTTTGAATCTATGATTAACATTTTATCAAGTTAAACTTGCTGCACGTAAACTAGCTTTTGGTGAATAAAACTAGCTTTTTCAATATTGATCATATAAATTGGTATATATGTAGTGTTGGTGACACATGCACAGGAAAAAATTCCATTAATGGGTTTGAATGGTTTTTAAAAATTTACCATGTATATTATCACTGTAAAAACTCTATAACCAATATTAATGGTAAGCCGTAAGAGTTATAGATTTCCCATATGGTAAATTGGTAAAAATCCATGTTTAATTTAATATTTACCATTAATGGTACTTTCCTGGTAAATATTAAACATCATGGTTTTCACTAATTTACATTAACAACGTTTCTGTGATCTCAGTACAAATGTTTTCGGCAAATTATATGTTTTGAAGGATTTGTAAGAAATATTTGAGCAAACTGAATTACTGTTAAACAATGAATCAGTTTCCTCCAAACCTCAAAATAAACCTATGCAAAGTTCCTACTGTAATCACAGAAACTTTAATAGTGTAATTAACCAGGCTTTAGGAAGTAACATTTTGAAACTGATCAAACTATCCATAACTATAAATTAGTGAATCATACCCGCTCAGCTGCAGGTTTTGCCAAGGGAACTTCCACAGTATGCCCCATCTTCTGTAAGCTTTCCTACAAAAGAAAAAAATAGTTTTACTGTGAGTGGATATGATTGTAATATGGACTTGACTGAATAAAACTAAGCATCTTTTGTGAAGTCATGGAGTACCAGTGATTTCTTGAGTTTACTGTGGTAACTTGATGTTTGTAGTGAGCCAACAAGATCACCAAGGTTGACACGACCATCATCACCTGTAACAAAATAAAATTATTTACAAACAATTCTTTCTAGCGGCAGGAAGTGAAGTAATTGTGGCATAATATACTGGAAGTAAAGCAGCATGTTGAACAAACCTTCTGACTTCAAATGAAACTCGGAAACATTTTGGTTTAATTCAGATCGCAGCGGTCCTTTACGCCTAAAATATATGAGATCCGGTTCATAAATCGTCGGTTTGCTTTCGACAACAAATTTACTTAATTCACCAACAAACCTCTTAGAAATTTCTTTCTTGTCAAGAGATTTGATTTTCTTCAACAAATCTTCATGATCAACTTCTTCCTCACTTCCACTCTGAACAACAAAAAATATATGTTAATAGCCATAGAAAAATAGATTTTATCCTGCATTTTCACCTTGTTCTGTGATCTCCTACACCACGTTTGTCAACCAGATCAGTCAAAATTTTGAAGAGAAAAATTTTTCAGTTTGTTTGGTGGTTGTGGACCACTTGCATCTCCCCTCCCCACCCCACCATCCTAATCATGCAACAGGTTCACTGGTCCAAAGTCCAGCACGTTACATTGGCCCTTTGTTTTTATATAATATTGTTTTTATATAATACTGTTTTTATATAATATTGCGGGTTTTTGGGCCCAAATTTCAAAAGCATTTTTAAGAACATACATCACTTTTATCATCGTCATCCAACCACTGCTGTTCATCTTTTTTGCCCTAGTTGTTAATCTAAACATATCAACAAGAACAAAATTTAGGAACATGCAAAGAACACGTGTTCAAATATAAATTCAAATGCTCTTTATTATAAATATACTGCATAAATTCAGTTTTAAATTCAGTCAGATATAAATTCAGTTAAGGAGTAAGAACAAACACAAGATACAAACTAAACGAACTAGTATCCTCTAGTATAAATAAATTGACAAGGGTGGGTTGTAGCGAAGTAGTTGTAGTTCGCTACTGTAGCGAACTACAATTTTCAAGTAGCCAGTAGTTTTTTACTACTTTTTTAAAACAGTAGTTGTAGTTATAGCGAACTACATTTTGCCTAAAAGTAGCCAAATAGTTGACTACTTTTCAAACAGGAATCGCTATTCGCTACTTTTTAAAATTGTTAGCAACCGTTCATAGAATAGAATGATATTAAGACACGGTTTGCTTAAAAGATTATTTTATACAGCAAAGATTATTTTAGCGCAATGAAAAGTGGCACTCCTGAACACCGTATAGTGCTTACAAAAATGTTGCTTTAATTGACCCTTTTTGTTTACTGTTACTACTCGTAAGTCGATTTGTTATAGGTTATATTACAGCCTGAGCTAGTGGATGCTCCAAGTACCGTTTCACTAAAAAATATAGAGTAGCGAAATAGCGAAATAGTTCGCTACATTTTTTAAGCAGTAGCTGTAGTCAGTAGCGAACTACCTTTGTTCAAAAGTAGTAGTTGTAGCTGACTACATATTTCTGAAGTAGCTGTAGTTATAGCGAACTACAAAAATTTTGTAGTCAACCCACCCTTGTAAATTGAGTCCAGTTTAAAAATAAGTAAAAAAATAAGCAGGGACGCCGGAACGATAATAGGGCAAAGGGGGGCGGACGCATACCAAGGGCACCTGTACTGAAAAATTTTTTTTCACTGCAAAATTTTTCGGCGACCTCCCCCCCCCCGGTCGCCAAACCCCTTTCGGTCAGTGTACCATTTTAGGGGTCAAAAATTTTTTCCGGACATACAAAAATTTTCCGTGAAGCCAAAAATTTTTCCGGATATCTTAAATTTTCGCCATTTCTTCAAAATATTTTTCTAAATTCCAAAAATTTCCCAAAATTTTTATAAATATAAACTATAAATTACCTGAATCTCGTCATTTTCCTACAAAAACCATCGTTGGAAATGTGATTTATCACGTATTATTTTACAACTAAAAGGGAACTTCTGCCCCCCCTGCCCCCCCTAGCAAAAGGCAAGGGGGGCAGCCGCCCCCCCTGCTCCCCCAGTTCCGGCGTCCCTGAAAATAAGTATGGCCTTGATTATTACCATTCAAGTTTTATATGATTTATCAAAGGAGATTCTAAAAGTTGACATCCTTTTCGTTGTCATGGCAACGATCACGTGATGTATATTTCGAAAAACAACACAAAAAATGATACTTTTTATTCAGAGGCTCTGCAGCAGTATATTTCGTGACTCAGAGGACGCAGAATTGCGATAATCATTCACACATAATATCACTGTTTATTGAATAAATTCGGAAAGTTTACATTTACGCTTCGTTTCATTATTTTATGCGGCTATATTACGATGATCGGCATCAAACGAATGTTAATCGCGTCATTAAATGCTATAATAATAATAATAATAATAATAAACTTTATTTAAAGAAGGTGCAATTATACAAAAACCAGTTTAGCAACGCTAATCTTACACTGGGCCTTCTGTTCAACTGTTATCGTCTACTTATTACAAATTTACTATTAAAACTACACATTA